GCCCCCTACTGGAGATGGAACCCACAACTGGGCATGTGCTTTGACTGAAAATCGAACGGTGACCTCCTGGTTCATAGGGCTACCTACGCTCAACCACTGAGCAACACCGGCCAGGCCATCTGTCCCGTTCCAGATGGGACTCCCAGGAAATAACCCCGGGTCCCCTCCCTTCTGGTTTAAATCCTCGGTGGCAGCCCCACCTCCCTGTCCCGCAGCTGTGATGCCATGGGGCTGGGGCAGAGCGGGCAGCCGGGCGTGGTGTCTTCAGAGGCTGCCCGAGCCGCCCAGAGGTCACAGAGGCCTTGCTCTGCACCAGCCCTGGCGGAGACCTGCTAATATTAGTAAAATTGGGGGTAACTTCCCCCAAACCGGGAATGTATGCTTTTCTTTCCAATGTCCAAATTAGTGTTCAGATGAAATTGAAGGAATACCACTCTGTAGTAGCATTTTATTAAATTTCAAAGATCGAGTCCCTCACATTTACATGGGCCTCCTCAGGCCATTCCCAGGGGCCGCTGGGCGGGCAAACCCCCAATTAAACCTGTGGCCGCACGTGCAGGGCTGCACTGCACTGGTGGCTCCGAGAGCGTCAGCCGGCCTGGGAAGCACTGGACACGGAGCCGCGTGGGCTTCTTCAGGTTCTGACAGGCAGGGTCACCATTCACATCGTGGAGCCCAGACCCCCTGAAAGTTCAGGTGAAATGTCAGTGAAGGGTCCTCACTAGGCCCAGGGCCAGGTCCAGCCAGCTGCCTGCTCCTGTGAACAGACCTCTCCGAATCATCGATCGGCTGCCTCCTGCACACCCCACTCTGGGGATCGAGCCCGCAACCCGGGCATGTGCCCTGACCAGGAATCGAGCCGTAACTTTCCGGTTCCTAGGTCAGTGCTCAACCACTGAGTCATGCCGGCCAAGCAGTAAGTTTTAAAAATAAAATTGAGGTTACTTAGCACATTTCATATGGTAATTATATAGCATATATGTGTGTGTGTGTGTGTGTATATATATATTTTTAATTAAATCATGGACTCTGTAATTGTTAGTCGAAGTAGTTGCTAACCGAGTAGGGCCCATCCTCAGCACTTCACATCATTAACAGGAACTGTCCATTTTCATTACAAGGAGAAAACTTTTCAAGTTTAGAGTTAGACATCGAGGCTCAGAAGAGTTACGTCGCTTGACCAAAGGTACTGCGCCTGGATTGGATCCCGTCTTGGGACCCTGAGCCTAGAGCCTTAACCGTGTAGTCATTAGTGGACGCAACCCTGGTCCTGCTGCCGCTGGGGAGGCCTGGGCAGGGGGATGGCCCCGTGCGCTGGCTCACTGTCCACTCGCAGACTCAGTACGTGGCTCTCTCCTTGGACTTTCTGGCCTCCTCTATGCCCTGGCACTTTTATTTATTCACATTTTATGTGTTTGCTTTACAGAAAGAGAAGATAAAGAAAAAAATGTATTATTCCTGTGTAACATTTAGCTTATCAATAGAAGAAGGAAACAGGCCTGGGGCGTTACATATTCAATCCCAGCCGCCCCGCAGGCTGAGCGCCCAGTCGGCTGGCCACCTGGATTTGTTTTTTAAGTGACCAGGGACTTGATTCTTTGCCTCTTTAACCTTTGACTTCCTGTGCCCTGAAACTGAAAGTAAATTGTGAAAATAATAGGAAAACAGAACATCTGTTTCCTTTGCTTCATTCCTGTGGTGGTCAAATGGCTGTTGGGAGGTTCTCTGTTAGCAGTAAGCATGCCAGGAGGCAGGGAAGTAGGTTGGTTCATTTGTTCATTCATTTATTCATTCCTTCCTTCCTTCCTTCCTTCCTTCCTTCCTTCCTTCCTTCCTTCCTTCCTTCCTTCCCAATTTGAGCACCAGCCTTCCAGCTCTGGTTAGGGATGGAGATGCAATGGGAAGCCTTGGTGACATGGAAGCCCCGTAGGGGACGAACCTGGGACAGTCACCCAGAACTGTAGACTGCCCCCTGGCTGGGGAGGGGAGGGCTGGGCTGGGGGAGGTGGTACCCAGGCCCCTGGGAGCCTCACGTGCTCCATCTGGGAGGAGGATGGTGGATTCGCCGTGGTCTTCGTGACGGAGCGTGTGGGATTTTAGTTCCTGCAGTTGGGTTTCGGAAATTGTGAATTTAAGTCTTTTCAAATGCTGTTACCTGCCAGTGCCGTGTCTGCAGCCTGCTCTGCCGTGAGTGACAGTGGCGCGCAGTGGGCATTGGTGAGTGTGGCGACTGTCACAGTGTCCTCATCTCATTCTCTAAGGACGAGGGAGAGTCCGTTTTTGTTGTTTGTTTTGACATTTTATTGACGATATCCAGTGGACCCCCTATGTTCGGGGGTATTTTTTAACAAATGTTTATAGTATCTGACTTTCATGTGATAGTTTAGTAAAGATCCTGCATAAGGAAGAGTGGTTTCCTCTCATACAGAATGAGCAGAGCTAGGTGGTGCACAAACACATGTGTTAAATTTCTGATCAAGGAAACTGTAAGCCCCACCCTCCTCCCGCCCTCCCCCCCCTCCCTCCTTCCCTCCTTCCCTCTCCCAGAGGGAGCTAATACAGACTTATCTGAATTGCAAACAGTTTCATTTTATGTGTGGATTGTCCTATTATGCATCCCAATGTGAGTTGTTTTGTATGCAGAATTTAACACTCTTGTATGTATATTTTAAAATTCTAGTCATTTGTTAAATATCAAGTCAAAGCATCCTGTTTAACAAGGCAAACCCCCACTAAAGCTTTAATCGGTTACCTTCCGAGCTTGTATTCATTGTATTCATAGGACGGTAAGAAAACTTACATCAACATTTTGCTCTGACAGTAATTGTGAGAACAAGTCAAGCAAGATTGGAGTAAGCTGCTCTGGCCTGGTGGCTTAGTTGGTTGGAGTGTCGTCCTGTATATCAAAGGGCTGTGGGTTCAATTCCCAGTCAGGACAAATACCTGAGTTGAGGGTTCAACACCCATGGGGGTATGTACAGGAGGCAGCCGATCAATGTTTCTCTCTCTCTCTCAAATCAATAAACATATCCCCAGGTAAGGATTAAAAAAAAAATCTATAAGCCAAAATCTACATAAATTACAAATTACTGTGTTTCCCCTTAATTCTCCTCAAAACTGTAGGTTTTAGTCACTTGTTTGTCAGGGATAAGTGGATAGACTGGCGATCTCATGGGAGACCTTTCCGTCTTACGTACACTTGGGTGGGAAGCTGGGCCGTGGCATTTAAAGGGCTGTGTGTGGGGTCCTGGTGGTGGCGTCCCTGACAGGCCTCCCGCTCTTCACAGGTGCTGCAGTTAACATTCTGGAAAGCACTTTCTCTGGAAACCATTCACTCCTGCCTGGGGACGGCTCACCTGGGCATGGACCACCCATGCTGGGGATTGAGCCAGGAGAGGTCTTGTGACTTGCCCAAGGTCATGCGGTACTTGCCCAAGGTCACACAGTACATCAGGAGCCTGAGTTAGCTTTCCATCCTCTGCTTCCACAGATTGAAATCCTGATGTACAAAGAGTCTCATTTCACATACGACATCTGCGGCTCTCGGTCCTAATTACAGAGTGTCCAGGACGAGGTGGCTGTGCTGATGAGCCTAGTTTGTGCAGCCTAATTGCGTGTGTTAGCGCATCATTAAGTGGAAGCAGTCTCCTGGGATTTCTCCCTATGCCGTGCGCTCGCCTGCTGCTTGCTTGCTGACACCACAGCCTTTTGTCTGTGCTGGTTGGGGGGTCTTTGCGTCGCCCCCGTCCATTCTCTCCTGGGTCCGGCTCCATTTTAAGTGTGTGTGTGTGGGGGGGCCTGTTTCGTTATTTGCTTTTGTTGCTCTTGTGTTGTTGTTTTTCTCTTCGTTGTGTTAGAGATTAGATTGGAGCCAATTTGTTTTTATATTTACATGTTTATTTTTTCCCAGAGGAGTGCTTCCAAAAATCAGATTGTTCATGTTTAAAAGTGTGTACATTGGGCATTTCATACATGTTGGAAAGTGAGCCAATGAGC